AATGTAGAATTGAAAGCAAGTGTTGGAGAGGACATTTAGCAGGCTGACACTAAGCAACAAAATTGGACAACCAAGCCATGTGATTTGAAGAAAAGATCGTACAATGATGTTATCGTTGTAAGTGGCCCAGATCCAACCTTTACGATTAAAGCCATTCATGAACCAAGTTGGACCACTAAGGATTCTCATAAAATTTTGATTTTTTTCCCCTTGAAAATAAAAATAAATTAAATGTCCGATCTAATTCTACATCCTTTATATTTTAATCTTATTTACAATGAATTATAATTTAAAATATCTTTTTTTCCATGTTGGATTACACACATGTTTTGTAGAGTTTTGTATTTGAAACATCTTGAAAAGCTTTGGTACACCAATAAATTAATAGAAAGTAAGCAAATTTGTTTTTTTTGGTAGGAATCATTCTGCAATTGATGCTCCCTAATAATTGAATGCATTGTAGAGCCCACTTATTACCTTTTGAAAATATTATTTCATATGTAAAGTTACTGTGGTAATTATTTTTTACTCTATTCTGACTATTTTGAGATTTCACATTGAATTTTGTCTTTCCAAAATTTTTATTATAAGAAAATAAATGGTGTCATTAGTGTTTCATTTTAAAGGGGTAGAAGAAAACTATGTGAAATCACAAAATTAAATATTTTCTTTAGGTGGATTAACTAATTGCCCTGGCTAGAGAGGGAAACCACCTAATCCACCTAAGCATCTCAAAATCAAGCAAATGCAAATGTCGGATGGTTACGACTATTATTTGATTAAGAATATTCATGAGATTTATAACTCAACTATATAGGTCCACTTTCTAACTATAATGAGAATGTAAGGTATCTAACTAATACAACAATTTGTATTGTATAGTTTGTTAATTATAAATGTAAATGTAATAAAAATGCATGTAATAGAATTTAATGATTTAGGTGAAATTTTGATACAACATCCTCAAAGAGTAACACCCATTCTCATTGGTCATAGAACTCCACCATATGAACGGAAAAGTGCTTTTTAAAAAACAAAGAAGTGATTTCATAACATGCATATAATTGATTTTTCTCCAAAATTTTCTAATTTTTTTTAATTTTTATGATTTTCTTAGTTCAATTAGGGCGCGAAAAATTTATTCTTTAGAGACTATCACGTTAACTTTTGTGAAAAACGATGATTATAAAGCGAAAAATGAAACTAGAAAAATTGCACGCAGAAAAAATACTAGAACGACACACAGATTTACGTGGTTCAGAAAATTTGTCTACTTCCAAGGAGCTGCAAAGGATTTTATTTCTTATAGGAATTACATCGTAGAGCGCCTCGGCGTTTACAAAAAAATCTCTATTTATTTCTCTCCCTTCCTCTCTCTCTCTCTCTCTCTCTTCATCTCTTGCTCTCTTAGAGGACTTGACTTGTTACTGACAAACCATAAAAGACAATTTATAGAAACTATAAGAGCAGTATGTGGGAGGTAGGTGAGTGGTAGGTGGGTGTGGTGGGTGTGGTAAGTTGGAAGGTAAGTGAGCGGTAGATGAGACTCTTAATTAGGAAACTAATTAAATTGCGGTGGACCGGGTCTCCACATCACATTAACTAAGTCATGCACAACCAATGTAAGAAAGAAAAAAGGTTGGATGACTCTTGTTGCACCACAAGAATTAAACATATTTGCGTCCGTTAGATCAGATGCAAATCGGTCGCAAAACAGTCAATATTTAAGGGTTATCATCATATTTCTTTTTGATTTGTTCCTACATTAAATTTGGGTCAGTAATTTTATTTTAATCTAATTTACTTTGAAATATTCTGACGCAAATTACTTACGTCAGTTTTTGTGTCGTATTAGTGTCGGATCTGATTATACGTAACGTGCGTCGATATTTGTATCTGAAAATACCAGGCAATTAATGATACCGTCGGATTACCGTATCTCTTACATTGGAAAATATCATAGAACGATACACTGTTTTTATTGTTTTAGTATCTAATTTTGTGTCCGAAAATGGACGCAAATCCGGTGCAAACCTGTAAAACATAAAAAAGAAAATTATAATATCAATTGTCTTTTAACAACCTGCACAAAAATGCATTCCATATCACATATCACATATCACATTAAACATATTCATATCACAGATCAAATATCTAAACAATAACATTAATAAAATTAATATACAATCACAGATCGTCCCAAATAAGCATAGTAAAGTTCATCCAAAAACTTCTGAACAAATGTTTGATATAATGCTTACAAATAAAAAAAAACTACTCGTCATCTTTATCCTCCTCCTGCATGGATGTCATCGGCTGCTTGCACCGACTTTCCGCTAAGGTCTCCGTTATGCGTGCTATAGAGTTCTTGACTCTATGTTGTCATTGTAGCATCAACTCATGCAACTCGTCGATCTCCTTATTCATTGCAGCCACATGCTTGGCAAGAGTCTCCTAATCTAGTTGTGAGGAGCCCGGGGAACTAAGAACGGGACAACGGGAGAGCTCGGCTTCGAAGGTATGCTCGTCACTCCAAGGCCACAAACCTTTCCCTTCTTCCCCCCAATTGTTTAGGTCCAAAATTCGTACTTCGAATGTATGGTGGTATACTGACTATCACTGCTGCTGGCGTCACTCTAAGTCTGAGTGGTCAAGTGCCTTTCCTGAAGCTGCTCGAACTCCTCCTGAATGATGAAAACCAGCGTTTAATTGACACAGTTAACAAATAGAGTAAAAAAAACTTTTAATTTAATATATTTAACTTACAACAATTGTTGGAAATGCTCCGAGACCCACTGCACAGTCCCCATGTGTTAATGAGTTCAAATAAGCAGCTCCACAACGGAAGGAACACGACTCAACTTATTGGCATGTATAGCGTACAAAAATGGTTAATTCTAAAAATTACTCAAAATTTTGAATTGTTTAAATATCTAAAAAAAATCTTAACAGTATGATGTAGAGCTTTTTATGGGGATCGATCCGCTAATATGGAGCGCAACTCCACTGGACACTTCCATCGCCCATTTCGCCTGGATCTTCTGCCTCCTCCTTTCATAATCAAGAGGCGCCCCAAAACCTATCACCAATCCAGGCAGGACACTCGTCGCTTCAACGGGTTGTCATGACCATGTCAGCAAGAAGTTGTTTGCCCCAAATCTCAAAGATTCTACGGATCGACTGGTGGTGCTCTGGGAGCTAGGGGAAGGACCACTGCAACGAAAAAAATAATCTGTGTGTTAGTATAAGAAAAGAAATTACAGTTACAAATCTTACTCAAATTAAATCATCGCACCTCAAACTCTCTGAACCACATGTCACGAGCGACTACAGGTATCTGCTTTCACGACAGATAGGGCTAATCATACCGTTTGTTGATAATCTATGTGATGCAGGTAGCGAGCAGATTGTTGGTAATGAATCTGCATAAGAAACAAGTCAGTTATAAAAAAAATATAGCATGAAGAATAAACATAATACAATGTTAAAAATAACTTATGAGTTTCACTATGACAGTAATTGTACCCTAGGGGTGTAAGAGTCGACGGAGCGGGCTCAAGATATGTGCCAGGAGTAGGTGAGTGAGAAAGTGCGGAAGTAGCGGGGGACACAGGCATAATCTGGTGAAGGAGTAGGTGCCATAGGAGGGGTTACAACAACGGGTGCTAAAGGAGGTGTCGCAGGAGGTCTAGCAGCAGTCAGTTAAGGAGGTGATGCCATAAAAGGTGGAGCCGTAGTAGGTGGGGGAGGAGGTGCCAAAGAAACAGCAATAGTGGAAGCATTGGTAAGAGTAGACGACCTCCGCTTCTTGCTACTGTAGGTAGTCTCAAGGGTCACCATAAATGGGTTTTATGAGGTGGTTGACCACCTGCAACAACTGTGGTCACCTATAAACAAAGTAATGATATTAAAAAAAGATTAGTACTAGTAGAAAAAAAAATCATAAACATAAAAAAACAATGCAATAAAGGTAATATACAAGTAACAACTATGTCTTAAAATAGAAAAAAACGAGAGTAAAAAACTATGCCTCAAAACTATAGAAGTAAAAGACATAAAATAGCAATTGCAACATAATAATCTAAAATTTGGATACCAATATTATTAAGTTTCACCAAAAGAACTCGTCGTTGAATATCAACCTAAAATTTCTTCTTCATTCTCTTCATCCTCCTTATCCAAACCATGAGCAATTTCTTCAAAAAACCATGTGGTATCCTCTAGTGCAAACCATTCATCATTTGTGCTTCCCTAAATACGAAAATTTGACATACTTGGTGTATTGGTTCTATAGAATATCTGTCATGTAGTCACAGTATGACTAAACCAATAGGTAAGATCTAATAATCTCAAAAAAATCAATTACATTTCCACAATCTACACACAACATTTAATCCACATTACATCCAATCATATCACAGATCAAAACTACTAAAAATACTAATACTGCAAAAGGAGATGCTGTCACAAATCTAAATTTTAAAAAAATTAAATCTACTTATTGATGAATATGGTTGAGTTTAATTAAATTTTATTTATGCAATAAATGAAGAACTAAAATCATTTTATTAGTCATGCTTCAGAGATAGTTCATAAACCTGAAGATAAAAATGGTTTTTGGTTGTAGAATGATTTTTAAAAGGAAATGTGAAGCACATAGTAATTTTAAACCAAAACATTATTGACCTATATATCTGCTCAGCTTGACAAAAATAATGAATGTTGATCGTGATTATGAGTTGTTGAGACCTTATTCACCCGAGTCATCATCGAAGCCAACCAAATGATGCCCAATTATAAATTAACCTAACTATGTCAATACGTCTAGAGAGTCAAAATCATCCAAGAAGACACCAAACATGATCAAAAAAATTTGGTATGGTGAAAACCCGGACTACCATTGCGACACGTGTGATTCAGACCTGAATCGCCTTGACTATTGTTGAAATCATTCAAACGACCTCTAATCGTAAAACGAACTGCGGAAGCTCGCTCAAATTTTCGAGACAGCTCAAAGTAGCCCACAAATCAAAATCAAAATTGGTTGCCAAGTTTTTAAAAAAGAACGGGTCATGAATTACAATGAAATCAATCGTAAATCAAAATTGGTTGCCAAGTTTTAAAAAAGAACGGGTCATGAATTACAATGAAATATTTTAATCTCTTGTGAAACAATCTTTAGTTGAAGTTGTTATTTCACAGTCTTACCTATATTTCACAAAACACGCCTTTCTGACCTCACATGGCAATCCTGCAGAAGCAATAATTGAGAAGCTATCTGCCTTCACGGCTGCTTTTGAGCCATGCATTCATATTATTAAACAATAATAATAATAAAAAAAAAGATCTCGTACTATACATATAGATATTTACATATGTGGCCGCAATGGTCGGTTGAAATATTAATTTTATTTAACATATGTATATAGATGTGCAACAAAATTTGTACTCTAAATGTAAATATGTGGTCTAGGTATACAATAGTTGACAAAAAAATATAACATTTTATTTTAAGAAAAATGAGATTTTACCTTTATAATTTGTAGTATTTTTTTTTTTTCAGGTAAGAAATATAATTTCTTCCGATCTGAAGTATTTTATTTAAAAAAAAATATTTATATTATAAAATCTGTTTGACATCAATTGTACGTCAAAATTTTTGGCTCTCCGAAAAAATGATGAATGAAATAGGTTGTACATCGAATAATATATTTTGTATAATATTAATTATTAATTGACACACATATTATAGTAGCCATTAGAATCTTTCATGCAAGTCAAGTTTTTATTCTCTTTTTCAAATGTATTTGATAAAGTCCCTAGGCTGAGTCTTTATCGGAAATAAGGTACGGGTACGTGTTTCAAGGTTGACGACACATTGAATCGCGTGATGAAGACCATGAGCGGGTAATTTGTGTCCCGTACCTTAGTCTGAATTCTATATTTTTGTATAAATTTAGGACTGAGCATGTATATGCAGAGTCCGACGTCTTTTCTACTTTTCCTGGAATATGTCACCGGACTAGTGACACTGGCCTCTTATATATAATTTGAAGTGCTTTTACTTCTTATATCGTGCTTGCATGCTTGGATTTTATTCCTTGTTTTTTTTGGTTTATCCGAAATGTCATAAAAATTGTAATTTAGGTTCTTTAGAATCTTAAAATTTTAAATTTTTCAACATAAAAATCTTAACAAAAGATTCAAGACTTTTAAATTTTTTTTATTTAATTCGTTTATTATTTGGGTTGAGTTCAAGTTACCCGATTCAAGTTTTTTTCGGGTCGGACCCAAACCAGACCCATCGATCAACCCAAATTGCAACCCTATACTAGAGGTTTTTTTTGGTATAACAATATTGTAAATCATTACTTTCACATCAGATATCTATTTAGAAATTTTTTTGCTCCGTGCAATATGAATGTACTAGACACTTTCTTAGGTACAATCATATTGTACAACATATGTTATGAAATTTATGGCAAAACAATCACATGAATCGACACAAATCAAGAATAAGAACGCAGAGATTACATGAGTAAGGTTCCTTATGCTTCAGCTATTGGTTCACTTATGTATATTATGGTTTGCATCAGACCTGATATTGCCCATGCAGTGAGAGTCAGAGTCGTTAGCATGACGTTAGTAGATACATGAGTAATCATGGAAAGGAACATTGGGAAACAGTGAATTGGATCTTGAGGTACCTAAGAGGCTCTGCAGAAACTTGCTTGTGTTTCTCAGGAAAAAGTCCAGAGGTACGGGGCTATGTTGATGCTGATTTAGCTGGAGACAGGAGACATTGGCTGGAGACATTGATACTAGAAGAAGTACTACATGCTATATTTACACTATTAGTGGCACTGTAGTATCATGGGGCTCTAATCTGCAAAAGATAGTTTCTTTGTCTACTACAGAAGCTGAGTACATAGCAGTGTCAGAGGCTGCAAAGGAGATGATATGGCTACAGGGCTTCTTGAATGAATTGGGCAAGAAGAATCAGAAGGGAATTCTCTACAGCCATAGTCAGAGCGTCATATTCCTTGCCAGGAATCCAACATTTCATTCCAGGACAAAACACATTCAGATCAGGTATCACTTTATACGGTCATTGTTGGATGACGGACAGTTGTCGCTTGGTTGTTACGGACAGTTGTCGCTTGAGAAAATTTGTGGAAGCCAGAACCCTGCTGATATGTTAATAAAGGGTGTTACAATTGAGAAATTGAAGTTGTGTGCAGCTTCAGTTGGTGTTCCCATGTGAAGACAGGGACCTTTGAGTTGTAGAGGTGGAGGATTCATGTTTGAAGGATGACGCCACCAGAAAAGGATATCAGTTTGAGGAGGAAGGACGTTGCAGTCTGTGAACAAGTCTCCAAGTGGGAGATTATTTGTTATGTGGAGCTTGACCCGGTTAAAAGAAACGAAAATAATAATAATAATAATAATAATTGCACAATTTATTTCGCTCCCGCCCCGTCTCCCGTCTCCCTAGCTCCCATTTTCGCGAACCACTCCTTTGTGATTTGCGATCTACCACCGATCTCCTCTCCCGTTCGTGATCTCCCCCGTCCGCCCCATCTTCTCCTGTCCCTTGCGTGCGAAAGAGAAGCCCTATCCAGACAATTCTTCTCTCCTCTCGCTCGCTGCAGTTTGCTCCTCCCGTCACGTTCGTGAAACAGGAAGAAGATTTCTCCTTAGGATTCTTCTTGAGGCTTACGGGAAGCAGAAAAAGGAAGAAGAAGAAAGAACAAAATAGCGAAGAAGAAGGTGCTTCTTCTTGATTTCTTCTTGTTGGCTTGGAGCAGAAGAGAAATAGGTTTTTCTCTTGTACGTATTTCTTCTTCTTCGGTGTTCTTGCTCTTGGGTAAATCTCGGTGTAAAGAGAAAGAGCAAGTGAGAGATCCTGCAATCATCGTTGTGATCAAATTGGTGTAATTTCTTCAATTAGTAAAATCCTCTGCAACTCCGTGGATGCAGGCAATTTGCCGAACCACGTAAAACTGTATTTTTTTCTGGTATGAATTTTTGTCATGCTATTTTTCACTTCATCGTCGATAATTTTAAATTTCATATATTGTACAACAACTTATGCTTCAGACTCTTTAAATAGAAAAATAACATTAAACTTAGGACGCAGTGAGAAAGTATTAAAATTATCTTTTGAGTAGTCGTATGTATGATTAATGAAGCTTAAAAGTTGAGAATTGGACCGTATGCTGCTGTGCCGTCACATGCAAAAGGACATGCATATTATTTCTTCCGGCAGCAATTATACAATCAAATTATTGAGGAGGGAGAATGAAAAGAAATATCACCGGCGAAGTTGCTTGCTAGAGTGTCACAAATCCCACTCTTCAGAAGATGAAATTCTTCTTCTTCGTTTTCTTCTTCGTCCTCCTCTTCTTGCATCAAGGCCTGCGTTGTCTCTCCGCTGTTAATTATGTGACTCATCTACCAGGCTTTCATGGCGAACTTCCCTTCCATTTAGAGACTGGGTAAGTCTATCTATATATATGCTTGTGATTATTTCACACTAAAATTATTACTCGTGTTTTCTCGAAAGAAATGATGCAGAAAATAGGGAGATTTATGGGATACATATACACATATATACACAGTTTCCTTCGCTTTGGAAACTAAATTAGTTTAGTCAATTGGCTCTGTTTTTTTTTTCTTGAGAGAATAGTTGAAACTCTGAGAAAGGGGAGAAAACGTTGATGGAGGCTAGACGCAAATGTAAATAATCCATTTTTTGAGATCTTTGAAAAAAATCTATTCTTTTTTTATTCTGAAAGATTGAAAGATAGGAATCTATATTTTGAGATCTTTTTAAGTACACTTCCAGTGATTCAAATTTGTCTTTGATTCTTCCGATTAATCCAGAGGAAAGTTTTGGTTCTAGATAATTTAGAAGGGAGGAAGTATCAAATCATAAGAGAATGACCGCAAAAGAGATTCTGCGCATGATGAAGGTCGGGTCTCTTTCCCCTGATGAAGTTTCCCTCAACAAAGTTTTCTTCCTCTCCATGAACGATCAATGTTATGTTTTTCATTTTCGTTCCATTTTAGCCACTTTTAGGATTTTGAGGAAGATAAGTCTAAGAACTCTGTGTTTTGTTTTTCGCTTGTGACAAATTTATCTGGCCATTGGAGTTGGCTTTTTGAAGTCTAAAGTTGAAATTTCCTTTCTTTGTTTGCACTTCGCAGTTATATATATGAATTCATGCTCTGTTTTACTCAGAAATGGCTTGAGTTCTCATTTAATTCTGCTTTTGTTTTCCCGAACTTGAGACTAGCTAAGCCATTCTTTTTTTTTTACTCCAAAGATAGAAGGGATCTTCTGCAGCTGCTTCACTAAGGACATCAACAAACTGCAATGGTGCGCGAACCATCATCGGAAAAACCTCTTGCCGGCTCCGTCCTCGCCGCTGCCGGTGACAGCGCGGCGAATACCTGCTTTGGCGCTTCTGCATTTGGATGATTTATTAGGAAGGGAGAAGGGGAGAATAAATAGATAGATGAATATCGAATAGAGATTAACTGGACACGAAATACGTAAATTATAAGTTTCGATTATGAAAAAAGTAAATAGGCCTGTTTTAACTGCTAACTGCTATGTATGTAAAAATCCCTTTTTAACTATAAAAAAAATACAGTTTTAGTTATATTTTTATTTTAAATTATAAAATTTTAATCATTAATCTTAATTTTATTATGATTAAATTAAAGTTTTAGTTTCTTTTTTTCTTTTTGTTATCAATTAATTTCGTAATCATATATATAGCGACATTCCAACTGCATAGATGGTAGAGAAAGGTCCACTTAAACAGACTATGTACCCGGCTTAAAAATAGTGGAGTTTTATTTTTTAGGTGGTGGTGAATTGTATTGAAAGCACACAACTTTGCTGTATTTACATATCTAAACTTTCAAATTTATGTGCATGACATTGGTGTTTTAAATTTATGAATAAAAATATGTATATTTTATTTTTAAAAGGTGATAATAGTACTATTATTTTTGTGATATTAAGGATTTGAGTGCTATATGTGTAAATATGAAAGTTTAGGTGAGATATGTAAATAGGCAAGAAATATGTGTAGGAATATAAGTGTCCCATTTAGAACTCAATGTTCATATTTTGTTCATATTCTGATTATTTCTTTTTATTTTAACATCATAATGTTCATATTGTTATGGTATGGCTCATATACCATATCGGGACAGACGCTGGATCGAAGCGGAGCGGAGCGGAGCGGAAGAACCAAACTAGTTGGGATATTGCTTGCACTCCTCCTTTGGGACCACTTGGAATAATGATGGTTGAAGATGGTGGAGTGACACTAATACTGTCCCACAAGCAGTGACACTAATACTGTCCCACAAGCTGCGATCGCGACCAGCGCCAACTTTCTGTCTTCGCCGGATTTTTGCTCAATCTAAGTAAGTTCTAGCGCCTAAGCGTCAATAGTCAGGTGCACAATGACCAAATTTTGCTTCAATCTTCAATCTAATCCAATTGGCTTCTCGTTCATCCCTTTCCCTACATCATAATTATATTGGTGAATAATATAGTTTAACTTTAATATAAGGTTCTAGCAACATATCTTTAATAACCAAACTAGTTGGGATATTGCTTGCACTCCTCCTTTGGGACCACTTGGAATAATGATGGTTGAAGATGGTGGAGTGACACTAATACTGTCCCACAAGCAGTGACACTAATACTGTCCCACAAGCTGCGATCGCGACGCCTAAGCACTTAGGCGCCAAATGAACAGCGCCAACTTTCTGTCTTCTCCGAATTTGATTTGGAGTCTTGAAATTAGAGAGGTGTGTCTCCTGGAATGAAGAGGTGTGTCTCTTCGTGTGAAGAGGTGTCTCTTGGATTAGTGGGTTGGGGGGAACGAGGGTGTATTGGTAATTTATCTATGATTTTTTTATGTCTATATATATGTGTAACCCTTGGGTATAAAAAAAAAAAAACCTCCCCCTCTGAAATACTGAAATTTTGTATTGGTAATTTATCTATGATTTTTTAATGTCTATATATATGTGTAACCCTTGGGTGTATAAAAAAAAAACCTCCCCCTCTGAAATACTGAAATTTGCTACTCGCTCCCGAGGATGTAGGCATTTTGCCGAACCTCGTTAAATCTCTGTGTTCTTCTGGTTTTGTATCGATTCTCTGTGTTTTCTTCGCCATAAATTTCACAACAGTATCGAGATACAAATAAGAGTGATTGGATGGGAAAGAAGAAGTAATATAGGTTGTATGAGATTTGGTTTGTGGAGGAGAATAGACGTTCCAAAGTTGATACCAAAGATTCAAATGGTTCCAGCGATGAGATGCAAGATGTCTCGATTTGTTACATATTTGATAGGAGACCAAGTCGTAAGCTTTAGAGTGAGGTGTTGGAGCATCGACAGGTCATCTGGATTGAACATTGTTGTTTTTGCCTTTGCCTTTATAGTATTTTTTCTTCATTTTGGAAGAATACAAGGCCAACTGCATATCGGGATCAGCGGAGGCAGATTTGTGCTCGGTGGAGCGATTTAATTTCTTCACTTATTAGTAAGGCATATAACTCGTCAAGACTTATTGGAGCGAATCTTAATCGTATGGTAGTTCTGAAGGGAAGATAAGATGTCATGAGATCATTTATTATATATGGAATAACGTCTTCAATATCAACTTGAGAATCAGCAGCATACATGTTATCAACCGTAGCTTTGGTTTGCATAAGATATTGAGATATAGTGAGTTTTTCCATTGAGACATTGTGTAGCTCATTCTTTAGTTGAATAACATGGGAGTGATTGGTGGCTTCTAAGCGCTTCTCCAATGTTGTCCAAATTTCATGACTGGTTCCTAAATTCAAGACATAAGGCAAAATAGTGGCTGAAGAGTAAAGTGCAGCCCTCAAATTTTGATTAATAAGTTGCCTAAGTAGTGTGCACAGGATTGAAAAAGGAAATGCCCGAAGCATTAAGTACCATGGACGGTGGAGGATGAATGGTACCATCATGAAAATTCAAGAAAGCATTAGCTTTGGTAATCTTGATTAACTGGGAGTGTCATATTTGATAATTATCTGCAGAGACGGTATTGGTAATCATGGATTTTATGTTGGCCATGAGGAATTTAAGGGAGGGAGGGATGAAATTTTCAGAGATTTACGAATCCATCTACCACATTGAACGTATCAGGTTCTTCCATTGTTGCCAAGCTTCAACTTGAGAAGCCCACCAAAAAAAAAATTTAAAAAAAGATATTGCAAGGAGGACGGAGAGCGGCACCAATAATTGTTTCAAGAATAGAAGTTCCAAGCGTCACCTTTCCACAGACGAACCAGCAGGAGAAAAGAATCATAGGGGAGGAAGAAAGAAGAAAAAAGAAAGAAAGAGGAGAAATGAATTCTTATGAGCTCTTCAAGATGACCTGCTCTGATGCCATGAAAGCAAAAGAGATGCGTAGAGGCGATACAAGTAAAGCAGAGAGAACTGTTTTCATTAGTTAATAAGTCTTATCATATTAATATATATAAACAGTCTACTATGGAGCAGTTAAGGTATTACATGACAAATATATGTAGTTTATCCGAAGGGATTCGGACTCGGGGCAAAGGGGACTCATACCAAAATTGCTTTCTAATAGGCTATGGTTGCACGCGCGCGCACATATATAAACTATTCGACAACTGCCCTCACTACCGACAAATTGGTCAGAGAGGAATTCGAACCCGTGACCTGAGGGGACTTACGACATTCAAAGAGGTTGCTCTGACAATAGACCACGACTGACAACACATATATGAAACCCTTGTACTCAGGCAAGATTAGATGGCACATTTCATATTTAGTTGTTTGCTGAGTAAATACTTGGGAATTAAGAAGAATGTAAGAACTAGGTAGAATAAATGAAGAATAAAGGAGCAAGAAAATGAATTAGAATATAAAAACTACTTCATTGATATCCCTAATTAGGTTGTGCATTTTGCTCGAAGATTGTTAATCACTTAGAATATTGATTTGAGTTTTAGCTAAGATTGAGATCACATCGAAGTGAATGAGACGAGCAATCAGCCAAAATCTCGGATCGATTTTTTTTAGCCAGTTTTGAGCCATACATAGATCAAGTTGAATGGGCTCGAGATCAGCTCAAATTATTTCTATTTATAAAAATTATATATGATACTAAATAAAATTGAATATAACGGGTTATGAATCGATTTCAAGCTAGAACATATGCAAATTAATTCAATTTGAGCCATCTTGTTTTGATTTCAAGCCGGATGGAGGCGATTTCGAGCTGGGATGAATCTGAATAACTCAAATTTTGAGCCAACTTGTTTCAATTTCGAGCCGGATCAAGCTCCATTCAATTTTGAGTTGAGCTAGCTAGAAATTAAATATAATTAAAGTGTGATAGAAGATTCACGGAGGTAGGGTAATAGATCATCGTCTTAGAGTTGCACGAGAATTCAACACACACTCACATAAAATAAAATAACAAGTAGAGACATCATAAGCTTTTATTTGGAAAACTAGGAAAGGAAAAAAACCATGGGTCATGGACCGGTTGAAGAGATCGACTATAACTCGGCGATTACAATTACAATTTCTTGTCTCATAGGCGAGAAATGATTACACAATCTCTTGAGTTATAAAGTTGGTGCAGAGATGATCTTATCGCAAGAAATGGGTGGCAACTCATATTGATCGACGGCTGCCGGCAGATGGTGGTGGATAATGGTTGTTTACTGTCAACAACTGCAGGAGTGATGATGGACTTCAGCTCCTTATCTAAAGTTCAAGCTCATTTTCATTCTTTAATTTATTCCCTCCTCAAGTGAGGTTTAGGGATCTATTTACAGAGTCCTCTCCCACATGCAATCAATGAATCAATATGAATCCGTATGATCAGACGGCCCAAAGAGATTTTCACGATCAGACGGTGTTTCAAGGATATTTAAGTGCCTCAACAATGTCAGAATTGAGCTTTCTTGGGCCAGATAGATTTGAATTGTCGATACGCTCAATTTAACTATAAGCTTATCATATTTGACATTTGTTTGACCTTTAAAATATGTCTAGAAAGCTTTCAAAAGTGATATAATGGCTTGATTTGGGCTAAATTTGATTTATATTGGACCAATTTTAGTATCCTTGGGTTAATCAAAGTTATTTCTTGTTCAAATTGTTGCTTTGAGAGCTGTGTCAAGCATTGTGGTTCATTTCAGATGATCGGAATTCATGTTGAAATATCAATAATGAGCCATGAGCCGAATCGGATCCGAATTCAATCCATTTGAGCCGATTTTGAAGCTCGGTTAACAATTCAATACAGCTATTAATAATGTAATTATGCTGATTTATGTATGAGAGTGAGACGATAGCTGTTAGGGAAAAAGATGAAGCGAATGACGGCAAATTGTGCCGTCAACAGTTGTGTTACATAATGCATGTAAATTTTTCAAAAAAAAAAAAAAAACATAATCCGGATCCGAATTCAATCCATTTGAGCCAATTTTGAAGCTCGGTTAACAATACAATACAGCTATTAACAATGTCACTATGCTGATTTATGTATGAGAGTGAGACGATAGCTGTTAGGGAAAAAGATGAAGCGAATGACGGCAAATTGTGCCGTCAACAGTTGTGTTACATAATGCATGTAAATTTTTCAAAAAAAAAAAAAAAACATAATCTTATATTTCATATTTTGTTATTATTTAATAATTTTTTATAATGTCTAATTATAACTTTATTTCTCGATACTCTCAAGTTTCTTAAAGAAGCTTCGTCCATCTCTCTGCCATTCTTCCATCTCCTATGGACTAATCAATGTTTCTGTGTGTAAAGGTACGTGTCTATAGATGACGACAGCCGAGCGGAGTTGTTCTATTACTTTGTGGAGTCGGTTAGGAAACCCGAGGAGGACCCTCTCATCCTTTGGCTAACTGGCGGGCCGGGCTGCTCGGGCTTTGTGGGCTTGGCTGTGCAGATGGGTACAAATGGTTTTAGCTGGGCTGTTCAAATTTCTTATTTATGAAAGCATTTTCTATTATTATAGACAGATATAAAGAACTCATAATTTTGCTTGAGATTCAAGCGATAATACAAAAATAGTTATTTCTTATTTATGAAAGCATTATTGTTGTTTGAGTATCTATTATTATAGACAGATATAAAGAACTAATACTTTTGCTTGAGATTCAAGCGATAATACAAAAATAGTTAAAAATTGAGCAAATATGTAAATAATTCTTGATGTATTTTATAAATGTCCTCTATTATTAAAACTCATAGTTCACAATTAATATTTGCATCCATCATATAATTGTTTGTGCACAGGACCTCTTAAGTTTAAGGTTGATAATTTTGACGGCAACACTCCAACCTTAGTTGTTAATCCTTATTCATGGACAAAGGTGAGAAACTATAGTACCATTTATAACTAAATTGTCACAAATATATATATATGCATGATCATTCTATTATACCTTAAATTCCACTGAAAAGATATTTTGAATTTTCAGATTGCTAATATGATCTTCGTGGATTGGCCTATTGGTACTGGATTCTCCTACTCCATGACTGATAAAGACTACATCACTGACGATATTCAGGCTAAAGGAAATATCCTCAAATTTCTCAGAAAGGCAGAGCCATAGTTCTAAATCTTAAATTAATTTATATTATATGCTTAAAATTTTTTTTATGATGAAGAGACATTGTGAAAATGAGAAAAATCATTATATATCATACTCTCTATTTTCACTGATATAGTGGTTCTTGAGACATCCAAATTTCATGTTGAATCCTTTCTACATGGGTGGTGACTCTTATGGTGGGAAGATGGCTACACTTGTTTCTCATGACATTGTTGAAGGTAATTAGTTAAGGGTAATTAGTTAGTCAATTTTCTTATAAACGCAAAATAATCCCGTTGTTTAGCTCACAAAGAAATTTTAATTATCATAATCATATCATGCGTGACAGAAAATGAGCAGGGTCAAAAGCCATTAATCAATATTAAGGTATGAATTTTTAAGCATTAATACTGGTTTAAAAGCTTTTAGTTTAATTGAGAAACCTAATTAATATTGTACCATGTTTTTTTTAATTTTATTGTTTGGAATTTTATCAGGGTTACCTAAATGGCAACACTATAACAGGCGAAAAAATAGATTTGAATTCTCGAGTACCTCACGCATACGGATTAGGAATTATTTCTGAAGAACTCTACAAGGTTTTTTTATAATATTCTGAACTTCTATAAAGAAAATCTCATTACCTTGTTTTTTAACATATATTTTATTAATAACATTATGATTTCCATTATTACAGCTTATTCAGACGAACTGTGTAGGTGAGGATTACCTACAGCCTCAGGGTGCGATATGTAAGGCATATCTCAAAGTCTTTAATGAGGTAAGCTAAATCATCAACTTTGTTCATATAATGTGTAATTTTCATACCATAATATTTTTTTAGGCTAATTTTTTTTCATGCATTAATTTCCTCACAGTTTCTTTCAGAAATTAATGTTTATGGTATATTGGATCCCCTATGTTCTAATGAACCTCCAGGAGAGGTGTTACACCTTCGCAGATCAATGGAAGAGAACTCACCAGAATTCCTCTCCCAGTTTTCACCTGATAATAATTGTATAGTTAAGTCCTTTATATA